TCTTCTTCTTCTTCTTCTACTTCTTTATATCGTTTGAGATCTGCAGATGTTGGTTATATCGTAGCGGGGTTTAATGCACGTGTCATTGTGGCAGATCCTTTTTACAAGATGGGATGATGTTCAAAGGTTTATTGATTCGGAATATTGCGCAAGATAAAAGCCGAGGAAGACAGCGATGTGGAGAAGGGTAAGGAATCCGATAATCTTGCAGCGAGGGAATTGTATAGCGCAGTTATGATCTGGGAGACGGCGTGGAGTTTGGCAATGGGCAGTGGAGAGGATGATATGTATGCGTGCATGACCAATTGCAACCCTCAATGGAGACTTGAGACTAACTACCTACAATACAAGAACATCAAGACTAGGCGTCCAATTTTCCAATCTTAAGCCAAACTATCTTTTCAGCTTATTCTTTTTCTTGGGTTGTTTTCGTACACATCTTTTATGCTCAAGGCCTGCCGTCTCCTCCATTCAAGACGAGTTGCGCATAGAGCCTCACCCCCTCCACATGCTCCCTCATCCCGATCCGCTCGTCAACCGTATGCGCATCTGCCCTCCCCTCGGCCCGCACGGGAGAGAAGCGATATATATTCCGGCTCAGTCCCCAGTAGAACTTCGTGTCTGTGTTCCCCGTCATCAAGCTCGGAGCGACGATGATGTCTTCGCCCAGGACCTGCTTGATGGTTCCCGTGAACGTCTTGTAGGCGTGTGTGTCGTACGGCGAGACGGGCGCGGGCTCGAGCGGTGAGCCGAAGTTCTCTAGGGTGATCGTGCCTACTGGAGTAGAGGAGGAGGAGTTTCCAGCCGTCATGATAGATCCCCAAGCATCGAGCGCAAAGGGAAACCTCGAGAGGATCTCCCTCTCGAGGAGCGATTGCAGGTGGGCGCGGACGGCGGCGACGTGGCTCTCGACAGCGACGCGGTGGTTGACCACCGCGTAGACCTTCTCCGGCAGCGCATTGATCTTGACGCCCCCCGAGATGAGATCGGTCTCTTGCGAGGTCTGCATCAAGTAGCGCTGGGAGATGTCCTTGCTCGCTACGTATTCCGCGACGGCTTTGGCTGCCTTCTTGCTGGTGAGCGACTTCTTGATGGTCTTGCGGAGCCACGGATCGAGATCGGGGCTGTACTCTGCGCTGCACTGGAGCGTGGTGAAATACGCTAGGATAGATGTTGTTAGTGTAGCAGGGGGCTACCAGGACATGTTCATACGTACGGTTAAGAGGTGTGAGGTCTGGCGTGTAAGGAGCAGCCTCGATGGCGGCGATTATTTGAGCTAGAATACCGATCCCCGTGTGCTCGGGGGGCACAGATGAATGTCCTCCTGCAGTCTCAACCGAGATCCTGACATCAAAATATCCTGTATATCCATTAGCAAGGTCATTACTCATTTCCATGTCATATCAAGTCTCTCCATACCCTTTTCGCCGACCCCCGGAAGAGCAAAGACGGCACCTTGCATCTCTGCTATCCCTAGGCCGCCCTCGTCGAGGATCAACTCAATAGAGTTCTTGCCTCTAGTGTTCTCCAGATGGTCGGCAATGAACTTGGCCCCCTGGAGGCCAGAGATCTCCTCGTCAAAACCAAAGCTGGCCAAAAATGTCCGCTCTGGCTTGAAGTCCTTCTCGAGAAGGGTCTCGATGGCTTCCAATACGCCAATGACCACATTCTTGCAGTCGGCAGCTCCCCGTCCCCAGACGAATCTCCCGTCATAATGTGCCGAGTATGGAGGATATGTCCATCTGGACTCGGTGACGGCTGGTACAGGTACGACATCCTGATGTCCCATGAACAGATACGGCTTCAGAGCCTCGTCAGACCCCTTCCATTCGAGCAAGATCCCGTACGTGTTGATCGGGGTGAATTCTAGCTTCGAGTAGCTATGTAGGTTAGTAGGGAGGGTCAAAACCTTGATTCCATAATCAGGGTATGAAGACTTACACCATCGGGAACGTCTCAGCCAGATATGCATGGAAGTCCTTGAATGTCCCAGCGAGTGTCGTTGCCCACCTTTCCCATATCATCGAAGCTCTCGGTCGGGATCTGCACAGCTCCTTGCATCCGCTTGATGCTCTTCTCGAAGAACTCGGGACTGCTGATCGTATCCTTGACTTCCTTCTCGAAGTTCTGCCTCTCGGCGCTCAATGCCTTCAAAGCCGGGTACTGTGGACAAGGTGGATGTCCAGATGTCGGTATCTGGAAATCACTGCCATCCTGGACTCCCGTCACAGCCAACGCTAAGATGACAGTGATAGCTAGAAGAGCTGGGACAGCCCATTTCCAGACCCGATGGCTCCAGCGACTGGGTTTGGGAGAGTGAGGTCCGGCCTCCCCGCCTCGAGGCAGGAGCGTGTATTTCAGCGATTTCTTCATGTTCCGGATACTTGGAAGAGGTGAGAAGAGGATATGGCGAAAAAACCGAGGAGGAGAGGCTTGATATGATATTATCTTGAATCACCGCGCGCATGGAAGCTGCAGCTGCTGTTGGTTGGATCGATGGGCCATAATTGGGGAGCTTCACCCCACCTCCCACCTTCGAGAATTGATCTTCCATTTGTATTATAGACGAGAAAAGAGGAAAGTAAGGGTCTTGCATAGCTGTACCTACTTACTCATTTAGCACAAAAAGTAAATACGAATAAAGTCCGTCCGTCTGTAAGCGAGCCTCGCTTATTTCAAAATTTCAAACCCAAATGCCCCTGTTTTTATTTCTACTTTTGATTTAGCCAGCCAGCGAGTTAAACATCCAATTTTCAGTCATAAACAAAAGAGCTGCAATCTCTGTTTACAAGCCTTCTAAAACTCTATATTTACATTTCTTTGGCGGCAAAGCCGTTGGGAACTTTAGTGAACGGCGAGGAAATGGAATGGGGAAATTGAATGAGGAAATGGAAGCATGGTTACGGACCGGCCCGCCAGAAAACACGCGGCGCGGCGCAGTTTCTCGTACGCTTGCTCGATGCTCTGGACGATCTCTTCCTCGGCAGTTGGCTTGTCGTGCTCAGAAGTGGAGGAGACTTTGCTTTTCAAATCTACCTCGTAACCCGATCCCGTCTCACCACCCGAATCTACCTTCCCACATTGCTCCGCCTCTTTATCGCTCAATATTCGACTCTCGTTGTTGCTCAACGGGGCATCGCCTTCATCAGCGTATCGAAAGTCTCTCCACCGTTGTCCTGTCCCAGATAGCTTGGATCTCTCGTCCTTGTCTAGGTCTAGGCCTAGGCCCGGACAATCTCGCTGTTTCTACGTCCTCGTCTTCCACCACCTCTTGTTCGTCGCGGAACTCCTCCTCTTGCTTGGGGACCACTTGGGCGGCTCCATCCTCGTTGGTGCGGACTACACCAGGTTGCTTTCGTAGCCGCTCGGCTGGATTTCATACCATGCAGGTGAATATCATCAGAGTTGGTGACAGGGGCCGCCCGTCGCCGTGGCTTCTTGAAGGCTCTCCGGCGTTGTCGTCGTAGTCGAGCCAACGCCTTACCCCGACAGAAATAAGCCTCTGCTCCTTGTAAGTAATATAACTCTTCAAAAGCTATGGGATTCTCCAAGATTGATTCATCGACAGCGCCCGTTTTATCAGCGAATTCTCGGGTCCGCCACTTCGCCACCCGTTCTCTTATTGATCCGGTCCGCGCGAGGACTCTCTGTATCCTTTCTTCGGGAGTTGTTGCGGTTGCATTGGCCCTTGCCCGAGCTTGATATTTTGCCGCTTGACAGACCCGATATCTCTTTGGTGTTGCACCTCTCCGTCGTCCGCCAAGCCAAAGTAGCTCCTCGCCTCCGTTTCAAGAGACAACGCCTGTGCTGCTGTTCCTGAGCGTACGGTCAAATTCTTAAATCTAGCACCGGGGCAACCAAATGAGCCCGCCGATTCCCGTAGTCGAAGCTGCTTCATTCCCCAAGGCAATGTCGGTGATCGCTGCCGCATTTTCTGCCGCTGCTCTCTTTGCCGCAGATGATCGTTCAAAAAGTCGCCACCTCGTAGGGATCTAAAACATCGGCTGGCGGGAGGGTGGGCCGGAGAAGATTTCTTGAAAGAGGCACAGAGTAAGGACTACATACAAAGAGTGGAGCGGATGGCTTTATAAACCTGGGTATCGGAACATAGAATGTATTCAGATTTACTTCGATATATTGCTGAGAAGAGCGTTGGCTTATACTTCCCAGCTGTTTGCATGTCCACTATGTATGTGCATATAAAGACGAGATGGACTAATAACGCTAGTGAGTGATGCTGAGGCTGAATCCCATCCATAAGAAATGGTTGCAATCAAGTGCAATTACCTTCGAAGGCAACATTAGTACTAGATAAAGCGCACTTATTCCGGGGCCAAACATATCAAATAGTATTAGTTGGATTCCTAGGATTATGTAAATACCTATCTATTATATGGTTTCTCTCAGCAAGAAATAGAACCCGCTCACAGCTTGGCAAAAGCCAACTCGTAGACTAATCCTAGGGTTAAGCGAGCATGCTGAAGCATGTGATCAAAGCTCAGGTACTTGATGGTGTCGTCGCTAGTATGGATACGCTTGTCCGAATTGCCGAAAGCAGACTCGATAACGAAAGCCGAAGGGTAGCCGGCTTTAGAGGCCGATGCGTGGTCGGAGCAAGCGTATCCGCATTTGGTCTCTACGTACGGGATTTCGCAATACTATTCTCGTTAGTCTTAACAAATGGCAGTATTATAAACAATATACCTCGGTGACGATTTTCTCGATAAACTCCGTCAAGGCCGGATCAACGAAATCCGTTATCACGCCCACGCTCTCCGGCTTGCCTGAATCAAGCGTACCTTGGACGAAACCAGTCATGTCCTGCTGCAGCATTGCTTTGACATCCCGTCCAATCTTCTCATATTCGGCAAATATAGCTTGACTGCCCAGCAGTCCACCTTCTTCAGCAGAGTACCAGTGAAACTCGACTGTGTTCTCGCCATTCCCCTTGATAATATCCTCACTTGTCAGCAAGACCCTCAGGGCCTCCAAGATCGTGACGGTTCCAGACCCATCATCATCGGCACCCGGCGCCGACAAAAGGGAGGGGAAAAACAGGTTAATACTGTCTTGGTGCGCACCAATCACGACAGTGGAGTTACTCTTGCCGGGAATAGTAGCAATAATACTATTCTGTCCCCATGGATGCTTAAAGTGCTCCGCGAATGCGCCGTACTTGTCCGCGCCCGCCTCCTTAATAGTATCTTGTACTTGTGCCAGCAGCCACTCGGATGATTGACGCCCGTAGTCGGACTTGTAGTAGCGGGTGTGGAAGGCGGAAAAGGTCTCGAGGTGCTTTTGCATCTTCTTCTTATCGAGAGCCTTGAGCATGGGGGCGAGTTCTTTCTGAAGGGCGGGCTTGGAGGGGAAAATGGGGTGTTTCTTGTGGAAGGAGGAGGAGGAGGAGGTGGAGAGCTGTTGGCCAAGAGATTTGGTGGTAGTGATGTCCATGAAGTTTTGGCCATTCTGACGAGGATGATATTAGTTGGTGATATGGCATGGCTTGTCATTATGGTATGTTATAACATAGGATGGGACGTTGCAGGTAGTTCCTCACTCGTCTGAGCTCCCATTTCTCCTCCTCGGTCACCAGCCGTGTCTTGCCTGGGGCGAGCTCGATGAGGAAGAGCTCCTCGTCGACATCGACATTGTTGATAACGACTTGGTCGGTCTCGTGCTGCTCTACGAAGCGCGCGGTGGCGGTTGTAGCGGAGAGAGCGAGGAGGGATAGGGTAGCAAGCTTCATGTTGATGATTTTTGAGATGGATGGGGATGTTATTGAGGTGTTGGGTTTGGTTTGATGCTGTAGTACTGCAGCCTGCTTGCTGATACCGGTAGCCTGCTGGTAATGTTGATGCTGATGACATAAGTAAGCATGGATCCATCAGTCACATGATTTAGAGCGATCTAGCGCACGCTAGCGGCCGCACCGCGATCTCTCCCAAGTACTTAAACTCGGTTCCCTCCCTTCGATTTCCTTTTCTTCTCCTCATACTTACCTTCTTGGAAACATGGCGCTCATGAATGCCGGTGTTTACAGTACGAGACCTCCATTGCACATCGGGGCGTCGAGAACTGTCAGCTATCCTTCGGGGTCGCTGCTGGGGGAATTTTTGATTGCAACCAACTTCTTTTCATTGAGACTTGGGCTTCGTGCTTGGGCTTGAGGAAGAGTCTTACACGTACACATACTCACTTCACGTCTTGTGTTGATTGACACCTTGCCCTCCCTGGACCCAACCAATTAAATATGGTGTCACATGATGCGGTGGTCGCACCCACACGTACGTACCTGTGGACAACAGGAAATCAACTGGATTGAAAGGTGCAACTGCAACTGCAACCGCAACAGCAACAGGGGGCGGCAGCTGGAACCCAATCGGAACGAGCGAGGCGAGGTGACGTCGGAAAGAGAAAGAGGCAGTGGAAGTGGAACTGGAACTGGAAGGGGACAGGACAGGAAAAAATGGAAAGAGCGCTTTACTACTTTCATCCGATACCCATCTCTCTCTTCTCATCTCTTTCTTCCTCTTCCTCTTCCTCTTCCTCTTCCTCTTCCTCTTCCTCTTCTTCTCTTCAACCCACATCCTCCCATCCCATCCAATTCTCAAGATGCTCAGCTTCTCTCAATGTAAGTAATTCAACCCAATATCCCACTCCTCCATCTCCCTATCTCTCACTCCCCCCCTTCCCCCCTCGATCTAACCCCCAACCCTCCAGCAAATCCCTTCGCCAGACGCGAATCCCAAAGTGTCGAGGCCGTCTGGACCTACAAAGTCCTCACCATCATCTCCTGGCTGCTCGTCGTCGTCACCAGCATCAACTACACCTTCGCCGTCCCCCAACACGATGTCCAACTCTGGCGCAACACTATCTGGGGTCAGAACAAGGCTTTCCCAACCCCCTTCGCCCTCAACGCCCTGATGGCTTCGTTGTACTGGTATGTACAGCACAGCTCGTCCTACCTCATACTGCACGCCTCCTCCTCCTCACCATTACAGTCGGCTAACGAACGAACTCCAAAACAAACCAGGCTTGCTCTCTTCCTCTCTCAGATCGCCTACATGTGGCATCTTTTCTCCAAGAATAACGATCATGTCATAGCCGCTGCGGGTGTCGGCTCTCACTTCATCTTCAACAACCTCCTCCAGTTCGCCTGGATCATGCTGTTCGTCCGCGGTCACTTTGTCTGGTCGGAGGTCATCGCGGTCATCAACTTCTTCAACCTTTCCTCCCTCTACTTCCGCCACAACACCTACGCCCGCGCCATTCACGTCCCGGCTGTCACTGGGCCCCTGGCTTGGAACTTTGTCGCCTTGTACTGGAATGGAGCTATCGCTGTCAATGCCCACACCTTACCAGCCCGCATCCTGGCCAACGTCGCCATTTGGGGTATCTTGGTCTACGGCATGTTCTTTCTGATCATCTACAAGGTACGTAAGCACCCCATGCGCGTGAACTCTCTTGCTCATGTAGAAAGGACTACACGATGGGATTTGCTCTCAGCTACCTCACCGCGTGTCTCGGCGTCGGCCAATTCTTCACCAAGACATTCGCTTTCCAATGGATCTTCGCTTTCACCATCATGGCCACGCTCTTCTTCGCGACGCTCGTCATAGCCATTCCAGGTATCTTTGGCAAAGAATTCAGCTTCCGTACTGAACAGAATGTCGTCCCCGCTGATCAGGAGCGCGCTCCTCTCTTGGAAGATGCCTAAGTTCTGTCGTCCTGAACGACGATGGGCTGCGAAAGATGTGATGGGGAATATGCATGGATGGCGCAACGGATTTGATTGCCTGGATGATGCTCTCTGGCTCGGATATCAAGAATTTGCGTCTGACAGTGGTGCCATGTTGATACGGGAATGATCCGGCCTAATTATGACAAAGTGGCATTGTAATTCGCATTAAGTTGAGTTGTCGCTGAGTGGAACGATATTGAGTTGCAGTCTCCGCGACCTGGCTTGGGACTGGCCTGGAATTTGGTGGTCTCAACATCATTCTGGCACCAGGACGTATTGATGAAAATTTCCATAGTAGTAAAGAAATGAGACAACCAATCAGTCATGAGGATCTGGCAAGTAGAGCTCAGCGACGTACAAATCAATAATGAACTGCGGTTCACGTCAACCACCAACAAGCGAGCGCCTGAGTCTGAATCTGAATGTCAAGCAAGGTCAAGCATCACTCATCGAACTCGCTCATACAACAAGACAACAATACAACATTCCAAGTCCACGCCGCCGCCGTTCGACCATTAAGTGCGGGTAGTTAGATCCATCCATCTCCCCTTCTATTCTGTCTGAGCCCCAAAGTCATCTACCTACCTACTGTATCTATCGTCCCGTACTTACTTAGTCCTCCCAGGTAGTTTAGTCAGTCCTTGCACGTCTCGGTCGCTCTGATTCCTATTGGTCGATCGGGGGTTATGCACTGATCTGCGACCGCCTCTTATCGCTCTGCTTACCTGTGAACAACTGCCCGGCCCGAGCTCTTTCGACCTCCGAGGCGTTCTCCCCCCTTTCCCTGTCCTCCTTCATCGATCTTTCCTCCCTCCCGCCCAGAGATATCGCAGCTTCATCACCATCACCATCACCATCACCATCACCATCACCATCACCATCACCATCACCATCTTCAGCTTCAGCTTCAACCTCACCTCCAAATCCTATCCCGACTTTCCTCCTGCCTCCTAATCCAGAACGAGTTCACTTCCTGCACCGCGATAAGCAATCAATCAGTGACGACACGACTCCACAACTGCACGACACGACGAGCATCCAGCATCCAGCATCCACCAACATGGCCATCTACTCCAGCGTCGCTCCCCCCGAGCAACAGGCAGCTCCAGTGGCCCTTGATGTCGCAAGTTGGACCGCAACCTCCGCCCTGCAGGCCCTCAGCATCTCCCCTTCCGCCCGCGGCACCGGCGTCTCCCTCTCCATTCCTCTCGAGGATGAAGTCGAGACGCGCCCCCAGAGCAATGGAGGCGAGAAGAAGAAGAAGGAGCGCCGGGATAGCATGAAGAGGCGAGAGGCCTTATTGAAGGGCAAGGAGGGCAGTCGACGACGCCAGAGGTGGGAGAATGGTACATGACCTTACCCATCCATTCATCCATCATCCCTCATCTCAGCCCTTGGAGGACGTCGCGACGGACCATGGCTAATGAGAGACGGTGCAGACCGCCTCCTCCACGTCCCCAATGCCCAGCCACCCCTCCCCTCGGACTGGGCCCCCCACGCTACCCACCGCGTAAACCACATCCCCTACTACCTCGCGCCCCTCTGGGACGCGGGAATCCGCCACCGCGCCGAGGAGAAGTCGCTGCAGAAAGCTGCCGCGCCCGCTCAGCGCGCCGGTATCGTCGAGGAGAAGGGCCGTGTGCCATCGGATTTGAAGACGAAGCTCAAGAAGAGCAAGGGCGCAAAGACCCTCCTCCAGGAGCTAGAGCTGGAGGTCCGCACTTTCGTCAAGGAGTTCGAGCTCCAGCAGCGTCGGCAGGCTGCTCAAAAGGGTGCCAAGGGCGGAGAGGAGATGGACAGCGAGGATGAGGAGATTGTGTTCATTGGCAGGGACAAGGATGGCAAGGGGATCACGATGAGTGACGAGGTCAAGGATGTCATGGAGGAGGAGCTGCAGCGGAAGAAGATTGTGTATGAGAGCCTGGCGGGTAGTCCCGATGGCGGATTCGCGCGATGGTTGGTGCATAGTCTGGCGGGCTATTACGGGCTCAGCAGCTGGAGTGAGACGAGGGGTGGGAGTCCGGCGATGCGAGGCGTGTTTGTCGGCATGCGGAGTGGGAATGCTGTTGATGGTGCTCTGGCTGATCTCCCGAGACCACTTTGGGGGATGGTCTGAGGAATTCCCTTGCTCTCTTCCCTCTTCGACCTTCCTAGCCCAAGTCTCTGCACTTGGATCGGGAATGGGCTGGAAGAAGAGGTAATAGGGAAGAGGTGTTGGACGGAGGTGACGTGTAGCCTTGCTATGATTTTTTCCTTCGCCCGTTGTTTGAACAATCCTTTTCTTTTCCGTCTGTTGTATTACCGTGTGCTGATTGCGCTAGATATATGTATACGTATATATGTATCTGTGTTTCTGCCGTAAGAAGATTCCTGTTATGATTCATTCTTTTCCGTTCCATTCAAGCTCACGTTACTCTTCTCTATCCTCGTCTATCCACCTGTCTACGGTGAAGTGTTGTTACCAATCGATCTGATAATTAACACAGCTCGTATATTTACTTGTGTGAGGATTACTTCTATCTCTATCTCGATTCTCTAGCGATTACCGCGGGCTCGACCGCACACGCTTAAAACGGAACGGAACGGAACGAGAATAAAGAAGGGTATCATCGAAGGTTTGTTTGGATAATTGGATCCAACTCGCTTACCATCCTATACTATCCCAGCCTCGCAAAATCCTGATCAGTCAAATGATTCATCGATACAGAGCAATCAATCCTCGAACACCAGCAATCCGCGCATACTACGGCTCTCTCCCTCGACTCGATTTGGTCCAGGACTAGGACTAGGCCTGCGTAGTATCGGCATATGCTCCTCCCCTCTGCTGGCCACCTCTTCGTCGTTATCATCATGACGATGATCTACCAGCTGGTATCTCGGCACACCATCATCACCGCTGCTCATACCCATAGTCACAGCTTCTTCTTCTTCTTCCTCCTCCTCCTCCTCTTCTTCTTCTTCCTCCCTCCTCCTAGAACCAGCAGTAGCAGTAGCAGCAGCAGCAGCCACTCTCGCAGACAAACTAGAGTTCAAATTCAAACTCGTCTGCACACTTTTCGAATCTCGTAGTGGGCTGCGAGGTGGCGGTGGAGGTACGGGTAGTGGCGGAGAAGGAGAAGAGAAAGATAAAGAAGAAGACGCATTACTCCTGCGAGCTAATGGGCGCTGGGCGCGGAGGACCTCGGTCGTGATGCTCCAGTCTAGAGCTCGTGTCGTGACCCCACTGCCGCCGCTGCCGCCGCGGAGGAGCATAGGTGCCGCTGCGGACGCTGCGGATGATGAGATGGGCAATGGGAGGTAGCCGTTGTGGAATGAGCCGAGAGGGGAGAGCGGAGGATTTGTTGATGATTGAGGAGGAGGAGGAGGAGGTGGTGGTGGAGGAGGTGGAGGTGTTGACGGGATTTCTCCTGCTGCTGCTGCTGCTGCTGATGATGGTAGTGGTTCTGCCGTTCTCCTCGTCATCGTCCTCGTTGGTAACCCGCGGGTATCAGATGGTCTGCTGCTGCTCGAGCGCAAACCCAAACCACCGGTGCTGAACGGGGTCGTTCGTCGTTGAAGAAAGGGACCGGAGGGGGGCGGCTCTGAGCCGTGATGCTTGCTTATGAAGGAGCCGGCTCGGGTCTTGGTCTGCCTGCTTCGTCGGCGGCGGCGGCGGCCATACCAGAGGGCGAATCCGACGATGGATGCTAGGCCTAGGACCCCCCCTAGACATGCACCGATGAGTGCTCCCTTGTTGGTATCTTTTGTATCGGTATCTGTACCTCCTCCTTTTTCTTCTTCGGCGGCGGCGACGGCGGCGGCGGCTTTGAGAGCGGTGCTTGATGATGATGATGACGGTGCTTCTGACGCGGTTGTTCCGCTACTACTTGCCTTTCCTGCTAGGTTTAATGCGATAGTCGGAGTGTAAATCGAGGTGGTTCTGATTAGACTTTTCGTCTTCGTCGAACGGGATGAGTTAGAGAAGGAGTTAGAGCTAGAAGAGCTCGTCAACCCTGTTGAAGTAGACATTGAGCTATTCGATAATGGGAGTTTGGAAGACGCAGAAGACGAGAATGACGACGAGGCCGAAGATACAGCAATCGCAGAGCTGCTGCTAGTTGTTGGTAAGGAAGCTGTCGAGGACGCGGCGACAGATAGCGGGCTGGGATTCACCCCGCTGGATACGATCTGGAGGAGGAGGAGCGTATCTGGAGCTTGACCCGAGTACGTGGTTTCGACCACTGTTGTTGCGGCCGCTGAAGCACGGCATCTATATTGGTAATCGCTCCCTGGATAGGTATTGCGGTAGCAGACGTTGGCCCCAGAACTATCTGTCGATATCAGCAAGCGACCCTCTCTCTCTCTGTGTATATACGTGTGTGAGTAACGAATGAATGGAAGTGCTAACCAAGAGAGAACGCCCCCATCCCGCCGCATGCCCGAATCCGACATCCACAAGCCGGCGTTATTCCCATCCGCGCATCTCGAATAGACAACACCCGCAGCGCTGCAATCCGTCGTCGCACAGCACCCGATAACCGCACGTACGGTGTTTCTCTCGCAAGAGGACCCGACCGGACGACATACTACGGAACTCTCCGCGTTGCTGCCTCCCGCCCAGCCACACACGTTGACGACGTCGTCTACCGAAACTGACGCTCCGCCCTTGGTAGTGAAGAGGTTGTTGGCGGCGGCGGGGGGAATTATATCAGGGACGGGCGGCGTCGGTCGGGGAGATGACCACGCTATTTCCCTGTTGTTGTATATACCTGTTGGCTGGGCTCCGGTCCACGGAAGGGCATTGCTGGGATTGAGGAGGGCGAGAGAGGATAGGAGGAGGAGAAGGGTGGATGAGGATGAGGAAGTTGGCATTGTGAAGATATTGCTTGCCATTTGATAGAGAGATGAGAAATGGTTTCTTAATAGCTGAGAGGACGAGAGAGAGAGAGAGAGAGAGAGAGAGAGAGAGAGAGAGAGAGAGAGAGAGAGAAGTAA